CCTAACCTTTGCTACGACTCTGTTCTGCCAACTAATAACACCCCAACTGTAGCATAAAACCAGTAACAGTATTCAAATTCTTCTCCCCGTTGCTCCTCTATCCAATAAACGTGTGTTGTTTACCTTGTTTACCAAGAGCTTTAAGATATTCCTTATAACAATCCGTGGTTGTTCCAGGGTTGTCTTGATGATATTTATAAAAGAATTCTTTATATGCTTCATATGCATCTTCAACCTCCTTCTCAGTTGCTTCTTGATAGTCTCGACTGTATTTCAAAGTAAATTTCACTACGCTCAGTGGGTCCACGTCCATTACATCCATGTCTAGATATTTTTATGATTTAGTGGATAAGGAGTCTCAAATTTTTAGAGTTTTAATGTTTTTTATGATTTATAAGATCTGGATAAGACTAATAATTGTGACAGATTAAAATGAATTTAGATTAAAACGAGTTTCGGACCTTTTTTTGTGCATATCACGTGATTTTATTCTTCATAACATGTGATTTAATATATTAATTATGCACTTTATCATTAACAAATTTAATGAGAAAAATAGCAAATTTGATGAGAAAAAAAAATCAATATTTTTACATACAAGTTCTTAAACTTCTCACTATTTTTCCTTAATTTTCATTATTTATTTGAATATTTTATTTAAATAAATATATATTTCTTATTAAATTCAGTCAGTTTAAATATACTTTATTATTTGCCTTTAATAGATTCTTATTTGATCATACACTTTTCTGATTGTCTCATAAACTCTCAGCTAGCTTTCTGAATTTATTGTACTCTTTCTTCTATTTTATTTTTCAGTATACTTTTTATAATAAGAACTTATAATATTAATATTAAGTAATAGATGAATTAGTTTATTATACTACTTAAGTCTTTTTATTATCTTATCATTGATATATTTTGCTGTTGATTTTATTATTTCACTCTTCAAATTACTATTTCTTTATCATAATTAATCATCATTTTACTATATAATTTTTTCATATTATTTTTCTATTATTACTATATATCAGTTATCATTAGATTTAAGTTATTTCTATCAGTTATATTAAATTAAAATCAAGATATATTAATAAAAATATACTCTTATACAATATCATGATACATTATATAATTTTTATATATTAATAAAAAAAATATTATGCATTTCAAAATAATTTTTATTTCTCTTTTAAGATAGAATCTTATCTCCTTTCATAATAATTAAGTTATTAAAAATCTCAAAAATATTTAAAGATTTTAATAATATGATTAGCTATGTAAAGTTTAGTATCTTTCTAATAAAATATAATATCTTAATAAAAGAATAAATTTCTAAAGACAGTATAAAAATTTTGCATATGGCTATCAAAAAGATTATTTTTTCTTCATTTAACAATCAAAAAATAAGAATTCTTAGCCTATTATAAAAAGAGTCATTCCAGTCTATAACATGATATTGAGAGTAATATTATTATAGTAACATAAATTTCTTTAATTTCATAATTTTTTGAACTTAGAAAATTTAACCAATCAATTAATCTTTAGAAGACATGTGATTTTAAATAATATAATTAATATATCAATTATAAATTCAGTCATAATTTAATAATATTTTTGCAATATTCTTGTAACATTTTTGCAATACTTTAAGATTATCAATAAATAATCAGTCTCAAAATCAATAACAGTTCACCAATGGTTCAACAATAGTTTAGAAATGCTTCAGAAACAGTTTAGTAACAAATTTCATTTATTTTTATTATTATTTTTTTCTTTTTAGAACATTAATCTTATCTTTTCATTTTACTTCATTATTTATATTATCTTATAACTTACCACATGTATCTTATCTCTTATTTTTACTTATTCATTTATTGATTCTTTGTCTTAAAGTTTATAATTATAATTTAAAGTAGTAAATAAATTTAGATAGAAACTTGTAAAATCTCAAAAATATATAAATATCTCTACTCTGAAACCTGAAATAAATGTATACTCCCCGGTCAAAAGTGTCTGACCACTTTAAAACTGGATAAAAATACACAAACTTCAATAATTAATTTCTTGACAATTTATAAACAAATATTATAAAAAATTTATATCATTTTATTCAGAAAAACATGAATTTTAT